AATTCTCGATGAAATTTCCGTTTTCATCATAAGAATTGACTGCACATGGAAGCCTATAACGTTTGAATACGATAAGCTGACTTTGCTATGGATTCCTTAGTAATTGATATAAATCTTTTGCTGTTGATGACCTCATTTGAAACTGAAAGCATTTAGGATGGGATGATTTCAATAATGACTGGGCAATTTTTTTTTCTATACGTGAGCATGTAGTTCACAATAAAAATGTGAAGCAGCTACTGATCACAGTTTATATACATTTACTGCTCTTTAGGCATGATAAAGTACTGTTTGGCCATTAATCAGGACTGGTCGAGAATTTTTTTGAGGTTAAGAGCCGTCAACTATGATATTTATTTATGCTGAAAGCCTGAAATGACAATCAAATATTAATAGGTTTAGGGAATTTTTTAAAGCACAAATATGTTATCATAGCTTATCGTAAATTATTCAACAGTAAACTAAGGAGCAGATTGAGCAAAACGAAAGTTTAAGGGAAAATTAAACAATTAGAAAAATTGATAAAGAGGTAGGTTTCCTTTTAAGAATTTATAAGTTTTTTTTTATTTTCAATTTGGAGTTGCTCACTTCTTCTATAAATACTACCGATAAATTTTCAAGCCGTTTGACGCAAGCGAGTCAAACAGTGCTGTTAAAATAGGATTGCGTTCATAGTGTTTTGACATGGCTGCACTTGGAAAATCTTCTCTGGGACAAGTCCTGTCGAAAGGGAATTTTTCGTTTTGAAAACGGAAGTTTGGTCTGTCAGTGTAGCGTGATTTTAATTTGGTGAAACTACCTCAATAAAATACTTGAAATATAATTACGAGGAGATTAGGCATTCTGAAATGGCATGTAAAAATACAGACGGTTGACGGTATACGACGGATTGTGCGACGGTATATGATCACGAAACTCAAAATTGTCACGTGATCGCGTGAATGTGAAGTGAATCTTTCTTTCACGGGGCGTTACGTGGGCAACCGCTTAAGAAGAAAAACAAAAGGATTACAAAAAGAGCATCTTTCTGCATATTGAGCCACCTAATTTACCAAAACTTGCCTATACTACTTCTGACATGGACTAGAAGGAAGACAAAAAGATCGTGGGAAAGGAAATATATTAAAGGATCCTAGGCCCCATTTATATGTTCTCGGGTACCCGAGACAACTTTACGGAACGTTTATATGAAATTAAGCATCTGCTGACCCTCGTTTGGCCAGGTTACATACTTGACAATATGGCGGACGACAGGAAAAATAGCTGTTAACATCCTGGTCATGGCGTGCGCACGCATTTTCTGTTCGAGTTCTCTTGTCTCGGGTCGGCGAGATACTAACGAAACGGGGTTTATGGAGTATGAGTGACAGACTTGAATCAATTTTTATTGTAACAATATATGACTTCCTTTTACAATTGGACTTAAACACATCTAGACAACGAAAACAACGCTGGTTTTGTTATACAACAATGTATTTGTTCAATTTCAAGAACAAACGACCATGCAGCTTTAATTTATGAAATTATTAGATAGAGCTCTTAGATATAAAGAAATAATCAATAAAGATATGAAAACGTTGATATCATCGGTCAGTTGGTCCACATAATCGTTCTCCTGAAAATATGAAATGATAAAAACAGTTTGACAGGTAGACATTTTATTGGTCGGTAAGCGGGCATTTTAGTTACATTCAAAGGAATTATTTGTTGAGTTATTCACCTGTGCAGCACGGCATTCTTCTTCTTCGCAAAGATCAATCGTACAAACATCGTCATCTCCAATCCTGTAACAGGAAATTATTAAAGTGACCTCCGGTTACATATTCATTGACACTTAGATTAATTTTCACAATTTTCTTCAAGTTAAATTGATTTCTATAGTCCTACTCGTACTCTAATGATTCTTGGAAGCTGGAAAACTGATTTCGCATCAGTATTTTGCCTCGCTCCCAAGAAGTGGCTTTTTAGCTCAGTTGGTAATAACGCCCAATTAGTATCTGGAAGGCAGGGATTCGAATCTCGTCTTAGTCCGTGAGGATCATATATTCTTTGTTTATCATCCGCAAGTCAAAGTATTATTTATTTTAATTAACTTTAAGGATAATTCCGTTAAAGCATGATCAGACTGAGTCACTGAAAATTTTTAAAGAAGTTTAAACTGGCTGAGAATGGAGACAATGGCCATAATTCGCTTATTTCAAGAGAATCTTTTTATCTTCTATGATGTATACTATTTTGGATCACATACCCAGTAGGAATGTCGTCTTTACATTGTTGGATCCTTCGTCCGGATGTAGTCCATCCTGGGGGTGGATAGTTGTCGTCGTCCTAACAAAGAAAAAACAGTCGTGTTCCGTTATTCTGACGGTGTTACGTCAATTTCAGTGCGGGATGACACAAATCTCGAGACAGTCGGGTTTGAGAGAACGTGGCTTCTAAACATTTCTAGAAACGCCTCATCGAGAATTTACATCTAGGTTCATGAGGCCGATTGCGTTTTAGAGTATTTATTGTTCGACACGGTGTACAATTTCGTCATGCTGTGTTCTTGCGTAACGACATGGCGCAGTTTGGAAGCTTTGATCGCTTGTTTTATTCAACGGATTCGAAAAAAATAATATTAAAAAGCTTTTGCAAAGTACAAACTTTTTCTTCAACTCTTACCTGATTAGAATTTTCCAAGCAACTTGAAGTGTTGTCTAGCAAGCGCACTTCTTGTTGATCTTCGATGGTATCTGCGTCATGCTGAGGTATTCTAGGATGTGTACAACAGAAACATTGTTTTTGATAATGAGATGCCTTTCTATTACAGTCGTTTATTACCAGTGGAATAAACCAAAGCAAATAGAAGTTTTATCAGATTCCTCTACGGGAAAGAAGAACCCTCAAAATTTGCCTCGCTCCTAGTGTGAGGCTTGGTAGCTCAGTTGGGAGTAGCGCAGTGCCCAACTAGTCGGGAGTTTAACCCTTTAACTCCCAGATGTGATTAAAACCTAACTTCTCTTTTTAATATCCATACATTATCCAGCAAACAAGGAATGAGAATACTCATGCTGATCAGGTAGATGTTTTTTTCGTGATAGAACACCAAATTCTTGCAACTGACATATTTGGAAATGTGTAGTAGCCAAAGAGGAAAATTTACAGTCAGATCTTGGGAGTTAAAGGGTTAAGAAACGACGACGCCGCCGCCGTGGACAACGTCGGTTAAAAAAATGAACTTATATTTTACCTAGAAATCACACGATACTTTAGGTTTACTTAGTTTGTTTCTTACTGTTAAAACTATCTCGACACTGATCATGGAACACAGCGTTAAATTAGAAATTGAAATTTAAAGAAATAGCCTTCGTCGTTCACGTTCTTCAGTTTGGTCATTTCACGTTGTTGTTTTGCAGAGAACGCATAGAAATTTGCAAAGATTTGTTAGGCTCGTTCACAGCCATTGTTTTGCTCATTTAACCTTTTTTTCCCGTTGCCATCGTGGTTTTCTTAAACTCCCCTCCATGTGGGAGGCAGGATTTCTAATCCCGTTAAAGCCGTAGTATTTTAGGCTTTTTTTCTGCAATTGCTAAAATTGTAGCTCGCCTGCGAGGATCATGGCTTTATTTTATTTCAATTCGCTGGGCAAATTAAATTTATTTCATTACAACTTATACCAGACGTTATGATGTTACGTCTTTGATGCCAGAAAAGGCATGTTTAGGGAAAAGAATACGTTTACTTATCTAAACTTCTTAGGTTTACTCACTCTTTGCCTGCTTCTTCCTCGTCAGAAGAGCTTGTATCTTCACCCTACAAATGTTCAAAAAACTAATCATGCGTTCAATTCTGTAATCTCATCAGTTTTATTTTAGAAATGTTTCTCTTTAAAACTAGTTAGACCAGCATAATGCATGGAGACATTCATTCTTCTTTAAAATTGGTTATCTCTAGCAGCCACAGCAACCTCTGAGACAAAACTAATTGTATCTACAACAGAACTAAGTACTTTCTTTAAGAGGTTGTGTTATGAATTAATCTAAAATGCTTTTTTATTTTCATTATTATTTTAAAGCTAGGTGATGATGTAGGTGTAACCTCACGGAATGAGTTGTTTGCTTTGGATGAATGATTTAAATACCATAACATTATGTCAAGGAGAATTGATTGTTTTACCTTCTCGTGTTTTGCTGCCATCTGAAATAACAAAAAAATATTCTTGTTAGAACAAACAACGATAGATCCCATTGTGCACTTTATAGAACACGGTTAAACATATCTGTAATCAGCGCCAAAAAAAAAAGGATTCAGATAGAATGAATGTAGGCAGTAGTCATTAGAGAAGTTCAGTGACCATTACATGCAATAATTTAAGACAATGGTCTTCAGATATTGCCGCAGTTTTGTGGTTAACCTGACGAAAGAAGGAGAAAACTTCAATTAATACCGCGAAAATAGAGTCATTTGTCATGAGTGTACTCGTGTTGTTAGCTAAATGTTAGTAATTAGTTGGAGACTAATTAATTAGTAATTAGTTGTGAACTTTAATATGTTTTAGTTGGAGACTGTCGCAACCGTCAGCGGTAAATGTGAAAGGAAAAAAACATCGTCAGTGTGGAAATTGGTTTGGCGCCATTCAAATTGATGAATATCCGTTTCGCCAACAAGCGTTATAAAACATTGTCTAAACATTTGTCCTTTTAGCTAATTGTGCGACCGGAAATGGCAGATGGACTCAAATAACCTTTTATTTTGTTTTGTTCATTGTATCCTCTTTAACCCTTTGTCCCCATAAAGAGCACAGCAGGTGTGTCTATGCTTTGGCTTGCAATATAATCACTGTTAATTTAATGCGATAAGGTATTGATAAGCTGTGATTGACCTTCATCTCCGGAAGTGTGGTCATGTTGTTTTAATGCGTTTTGATACTGCCTTCGTGGTTTATTTGTGGTATTTTGTCACCAGAACGATGATGTTTTGATGATGTCGTTGAATTAATTGCCACGAATGCGTAATCTTGTTTAAGTATTTGGAAGTGTTTTGATTATATTTTGAGCTTTTCCGTAACGAACTAACGCGTGAATAATTGTTAGAAAGGTAGAAAGATAAGGAACTGGCTTTCAAGGCAGGCGTCTTATTAGTGCGAGCTAACGCTATAAACTCGCCATCGTTTATCCGACTGGCCATGTTTGATTTGAAGTTAGAGTGAACGGTGGGGAAAGACCTTCCCCACACTTACCCTCTCCTTATTTTAGACCGACGACTGCCTCCTTGGTACAAATTTCTCACTCTCTCCCCAGCCTTCCGCTGCCACTAAATCAAAGATGGCGGCCATAATTTTCGTGGAGAACATACTAAGTTCTCGCTCGCTTAAATTACGCTTGTTCTGTAGGCTAGAAGTGAACCTGCTTTTCTTTAGCGTTCACCTAAGGCACGTGCTGTTACAATACGGTCTAGTGGCTAATCGGTTTGGTGACGAAGGGCATATTTAAATCGTTGTGTAAATTTGTGTACAATGCAAACGTGAAGGCGAATGAAGTAAACAACGAGGGAATCTTTGAATAATCGAATGACATAAATGTAGGACTTCACTGTAGTGTAAACGTAAACGTTACAAAAAGAAAGAACCACATCACACCTGTATTCACAGCAAACGGAGAGGTTGGTAGAGATTAAAACGGTGCTAAATAAATAAAATAATAAAAGTAATAATCCCGTCCTGTGTCTCCCTCTTTAACAAAATGTAAATAGGATAATCCTGACAATCTGGATGGTTCAGGTTCGCAGAAGAGTTACTGGAGTTGAAAACATAAAATGATCATCAATACCTTGGAGTAAACACGGTAAAACTTTTCTATGTTCTCTCCTAATCTGGTCAAAAGGTTCGTTCGCACAGGCGTCGACGTTTGCGAGAAGTAGAACACATAGCATAGTCACATAGACTTAAATGCGCATGGTCTTACATATGTACCTACTGTCGCTCGTGCGGTGGGCTCATGCTGTATTGTTACATTTTACCTATCTGTGGAAATAGGAAGATAGGGAAGGCAAATGCGAAATAGTCTCGAAAAGCGGCCCAGGCACTGAAATTACGGCTGTAGAAGGCTACGCACCAGTCGAGCAAACTCCTCCGCGTCGGCAGGTTGTTCATGATTTAGAGGTCTTTCGTGACTCTCTTGCCTTAGGCGGTAGTGAGAACTTCTTTCCAAGCTGTGCGAATTTGAGCAGCTTCTCACCGCTCAGTAATTTTGAAGTCATTCCAGAGGACGAATGTTAGATGTTGTCATTCGGGGCATTGTGTCGTCCCGTTCCAGAGGGCAGCCGTAGATGAGGAGTCCAGAAAGCGGACAGTATCAGTAATGTTGAATTTAGAACTTCGTCGTTATTTCTGTGGTTGACAGTTATACTGATGTCATGTCACTATTCAATAACTTAATGCGTCTAGACCTGTTGTCTTCAGCAGTATTGTCAGGCGACTTTTACTGATGGATCATTTGAAGTTGAATCCTCTGTTTTAATAGATATTATTGTCTAGCTTGTCTTTTTTTGAAATCGACACGATTTAGGCGGTGTCTCAGCTTAATAAGAACAAACTTATCAAATCGAGGATATTTAGTTGCCATAGTGCATTTCTCTTTAACTTGCATAGGTTATTGAAATGGAAAATCTTCATTTTTGATTTTTCGAAAGCATTTTATGGAAATCAGTTGATACGTCTATTATTAGTCTGGGATAGAGGTTTCGCCCTT